AAGTTCGCGCAGTGATGCTGTACATAATCAAAATTATGGAGACTACATATCTCACGACGACTCACAAATGATACTCACTAAAAGGGCTACAGAAACTCTTAGTTATTTGTGTGTGGGGAGTGAACATTCACAACAGGTTCTCAGAACCGCTTAATTTGGCTAATGGTCTTTATGGTGCATTTTTCATTAAGCATATTTGCCATGTTGGTTTTATGAATAATATATTTCACACTACATTGATTAAGTGGGGTTTTTAATAGAAGTGAAATTAGCTAGATGAGTTTGCAAGTAAATTGCACTTGTTTTGCTTTGAAAGCTTGAGGTGATGTAGAAGTCACTTTTAATCATCTGTTCATTTTCTGATTGCTCTGATAATGCATAGTTAACTTTGCATTTGCTTAGGAGATCAGACGATTAATAATAGACATGCTTGGTCTTCTGCCAAGATTGCATTACTGAATCATAATATTACTGTCATGTCTGATATTGGGGAAGTTTTTTTTCTGCGGAAATACAATATTGCAATGTATATGATTGCCTGTATGGTAATCAATGGTACCTATGACATCCTGATTTTTATCCTCAACATCATAAAATGAGTAGTCAGTGCTGGGTAGATTACTTACAAAAAGAAGTCCATTATTAATTACAAATTACATAATGGAAATTGTAGTTAGTAATGTAATCTATTGGAATACACATTATTCTAACTACTTTTAGATTACTTTTGACCTAACTCATAAGATAATATTCTCCTATCGTTGTTATCAACATCATGAAGTGCATTAAGTGCATCAAACTGGGGTTCCTGAAAGAATTGTGAGGTGATGAAAAGCTACTGTAATTAATAAAATCACAAAAACTTTAATTTTTTTCCCATTCTCTGTGTAATTATATTCTCCTGACTACCAGCTGTTGTGTGCAATTCCATAAAACTGGAAAACTTTTTGAATAGGATTTTTTAGAGAGGAAATTAAGAGAATTAGTGCAAATCAATACATTATGAATAATTTACTGCCATTGTGTAAACAGTATGTAACCCACAGATGAAAATTCTTGTCATCATTTACTCATCCTTGTGTTGTTTCGAACCTATATGACTTTCTTTCTTCCTCTGAACACAAAATAGGACGTTTTTGAATGGTGCTGCTCTTTTCCATACAATGAAAGTCTGTGAATAGATGCTGTCAAGGTCCAGAAACTACAAAAAGCACCCCAAAACACTCATGCACCCAAGTCTTCTGAAGTCATACGATAGCTCTGTGTGAGAAAGTACACTGAAATTCAAATAATTTCTCACTGAAAAGTTTCTCATCTGCTGCTGCTCTCGTGAAATCTTGTGTTTGCATAATTAATAAATTAATTAATAAAACATGACAAGTTACATCTCCATTTGTGGTATACAAAATAAGGAAAGTCACAGAGGGTAAATAATGCCATAATTTTAATTTTTTGAGCAAATATTCGAGGCACCTTTTTTATATGACCATCTACTTTAATGTAATTTTGGTCCTTACAGGCTTCTCCACATAAGGCTCACCTTCTGTCTACAGAATCCTCAGCAGAGACGAGGACGGACAGTGCAGTGTGTCCTCCACTCCAAAGACGAAGAGCGTCTCTCAGAAGCCCTGTACGCAGCAGAGCGGAATGTGTAATGCTCTAAAGAGCACAATGACAAACAAAGGGTGTGAACGATTAATCCACTTAGTTTTGCTGCGTGTGTGTTTCTATGATTACAAAGATGGGTCGAATTTAATTAGCCAAGTGATTTTTCACTGGAATACGATGCACTGCACGTGTACAAACACTTAGAGTTGTAAGTTGTCAAGCTAACACTTGAGAGCAGGGCTACAACTAGTTATTTTCTTTAAATAATCATGTAATCTCTTTTTATTATTCTAAAATGCTTTGTGATAGTTAATTTATTGTCCATTTATTACTATTTTTATTACATTTATTTATGCTTTCTTTCTTGATTACATGCCAAATTATCACCTTTGAACAATGTTCAACAAAGTACACTGTACAAAAGAAAAGAAAAGAAAAGAAACGAAAAAAAGAATGTACTGCTTTTGAAAGAAGTGCTTACCAAGACTGCATTTATTTAATCAAAGTTACAGTAGCAACAACAATATTGTGGAAATATTATTAAAATTTAAAATAACTGTTTTCAACATTAATATATTTTAAAATGTAATGTATTCATTTGATGGCACAGCTTGATTTTTTAGCAGCCATCACATGATTATCCAACAATCATTTTAAATTGCTCATTTGGTACTCAAGAGACATTTCTTATTATTATTACCAATGTTGACAACAGTTGTGCTGTTTAATGTTGTGTATGCATGTATGTATTTATTTATTTATTATATGATGCATTTATGTTAAATAAAAGTCTTTTGTAACATTATTTTATCAGTTTAATATGTCCTTACTGAATTAATAAATATTAATAAAAAACAAAAACGTTTGAATAATCGAGTATATGTTGTGAGCAATAATGGTTAAATACATAAGTTGCAATAATATATCATTTTAATAGTATGCTGTATAATTGCAATATAAAGCAAACACTGGCATAGGCTAAAGTTACTGCTCATAAAATATAATGCAACACCTATAGAAATATTGCTATTTAAAGTTATTAAAAACCTACATTTGATGTTTAATAGTGACTGCACTCCCTTTCTGATGTGCTGTTTGATTGACAGGCATCATTATTATTATTATTTTTTAATTAGTGGTTGAAGTCTCACTTGACATTTTTTAAGATGTCATTCCATTTCTACAGGTTATCAAAAAAATATTTTTATAGATTAAATCATGCAACAAAATACCCACAAATCGCACAAAACAGTGGCCATGTGCCTCATCTGTCTCTTTTATTGCCAGTCTCTGAAGTCCACTCAGTTAGTGCATTTTTAGCGCACTGGCAGTCCATATCTTGATTGCCTGTGACATTGAGCACGTGAATGTTTGTGTGTGTATGCGTGTGAGGATGTTTGGGGGGTGGGGGGTCAGTCTGCCAGGGCCTTTGGGCGACATATCGCCATCTGGGAGGTATGACCCTGGAACTGCGAGGTTTCCGTGGAAACTGGCTGTAATAGAATCATGGCTGGGGTGCAGCAGAGGGCAGAAAGAGTAAGAAAATGGGTAGAGTCAGAGAATGAGCGACAGAGAGAGCGAGAGAGGGGGTTGCTGTCAAGTGCCCTGTTTGGAGCAGCAGGATTAAGCCTGGCACGAAGGGAAGCACATTCAAGGTCAACTAAGAAACAGCAAAAAAAAATAAAAATTGTGAGAAGCATGAGTTTGGTATTTTATATTCACTCATTGTAGCTGGTTTGCTCATGTTGATATTTATGGACTTCCGTTGACTTATGAGCTGTTCTTTTTAATGAATCACTCAAAAAGACACAAATCAGTCTCAAACTCTTGAGTTGTCAGTGTGAATCAGTCTAATGACTCACTGACTGAATCAGAGAACTGTTATTGTGTATCCACATCGCTCACAAACAGATAGTTCATCAAAAAATGAAAATTCTGGCATTCTTTACTTCTCTTATGAACATGCCAAATACAGTTAGAACGGAAGTCAAGGTTCACAGTGAATAATGATTGCTTTACATCATAGGGCTTCAGAAAACTTGGAATTTAGTGCAATACTCATACAAACTACTTTTATGGTGTTTTTGTATCTTTTTAAAGCTAGAAATCCTTGCTTTCCATTCTTTGTAGCTGCATGGAAATAAGCGAACAGCACAAATCTTTAAAACCCACCATTTGTGTTCTACAGAAGACATTTTTTGGGGTTAACTACTCATTGAAATCATTGTAATTACTGGTGAATGTTCATACATTAATGTTTGAACAGAGTTTACTCATAAAAAAGGTAATTTATAAAAAAAGAAAAATGTTTCACCAAAATATAGGCCTCCTTTTATATGTATATAGCTATGTCCAATTATTCTTAAATTACTGAAAGAATCATTAACAAAATCATTAAGGAACTCCAGTGGATTTGTAACATTCATCCCTAATGGAGAGTTCAAAAGACTGAAAAAGTGAGAGACGCAAAGAAAAAGCAAGAGAAGCAGGTGCAACTTTGTTGAATATACATACAGACGCTAATGAAGTGGATACAACAAATATATCACAGATATTTTGCACACTAGACTTTTCACATCAGCTAATGACTCAGGTGTGCTTGAGACTAGCTGTCTGCAATAAGCCCACACTTCGTACAATTCCCTACAAGACAAGACTGCAGCAGCACACAAGGGAAATGTTACACACTAATGCAATTCGTGATATAATTTTAACTCGTAATTCTTTATTATCTAGCATGCAGTCACTCCATAAGAACAGCAGAGGGTGTAGCAGCAGAAAGACATTGCTGCTTATCTCATTTGGTTTTAGGCAGCCAATCTGCCCAAAGGCTTTATAGCAAACAATAGATGTCATGTTGCGCCTTAGGGATGGTGATTCTTCAAGGGAAATAAAAACAACCACACACACACACACTCTAGACAGCATTAGGTTTTCAGTGCTTTCATTAACAAAAAATGACTGATATAATTGATGATTCGCCACTGGACACAGATAGTGTAATGCATTTCAAACAACAGCAATTTCAGACCATGCAGCTACATTGTCATCGGAAAGAAATTTAGTAATTGCGGCATCCTGACTACAGAAGTCAGATGAGTAATCAATACATGCTGGGCAGTAGGTGATGAAACAGTGAGAGCGAGCACTCAGGTGTTGGTCGGTTTTAAAGAGCTCTATAGAGTCAGCAAAAGGGAAGCTATTAAAACCACTGAAGGCCTGTGAGGGAATATCATCACATCAGAATCTAGTACAAATCTACTTTTCTCTGCTGCAATAAAAGGTCCTGGGAGTTTATTTATAAATATAAAATTATCTAAAATTATATATGCACTCAACATCAATGAGTTATTAGCATGCACGCTCAGGTTTGCGCATGTGTGTTAACTTACAAACTCTGCCGTAGCTCTGCTGTGTCTCTGGATGTTCCCAGCGATTGAAGGTTTTTCTCTAGTGTTACCACTGAAAAAGACAGACAGAAATTGCTTTGTTTTTAATTTTGTCACTTTCCCCTTACAACTTACAACTCATGCCATGCTTAATGGCTCTCTATCGAGTTCTGAATATTTGGAGGCTTTTTAAACTCACCGTTAGCATTGATCTGGAAGATGTTAGAGGAGGTTTCCTGGAAAACATCTTGCAGCTCTGAAGGACTGACTTGCGTAGCTGTAGAGGGAAAACAAGGATTGATATTTGACAATTTTATTTAAATTGTGAGCACATCCTTAAAAGATGATGGTTGTCATTTATTTGATGTTAAAATATTACACTGCCAATTTATTCTAAGCCAGTGATGTTAAAACAAATAGTAGACACAACCTTGATTAGATGAAGAACATTCAAAACTGCTGTGACCACACAATAGTTAAATTCATTATTAATGTTAACCACTTAAATGTATTATAAATAATAAATGTCACATTGCTTGCAAACAGCCTAAAGGCTTATAACAAATTTACTTTGTGAAGAAAAGTTAATTGTGACTATTAATAGATTAGATGAATTATTGAAAAATTACACTACTAGTTTATACTTTTAGTTCTTTTGAACTTTCTAGTCAAAAAATAATCCTGTGGAGAAAATAAAGTTTTCACTGTTTCCATGAAAATATTAAGCAGCAAAACTGTTTTTGATGTTGATATGATGTGATGCTACAAACTGGAGTAGTAATGCTGAAAACTCAGCTTGTCCGTCACAGGAATACATTCAATTTTAAAATATATTAAAATAGAACACAGTTATTTTAAATTGTAATATTATTTCAAACGTTACCTGTATTATTACAGTTTTTTTTTTTTTTCTAATAAATTGGTGAACAAAATATTTACTTCTTTCAAATAACATAAGAAATCATGACATCTTACCAATCCCATATTTTTGGTAGAATATTTATGCATTTATTTATTGATGTATTATAAATAGGATACATTAATTAATTTATTTATTTAAACTCTTACCTTTGGTAAAAATCACTATTATTACATAGTGCTTTGACTATGAGTATGATTATAGTTTCTCTTTATTTAGCTGGCACATCCTACTCATGGGGGTCTCCATATTTCTGCTAAGTGAAGCCAAACAAAGCAGAATCAAAAACACACCAGGTTTCTGGGCAGCAGCTAGGCCTAAACAGACTGAGTCGTGAGCCACCCAAATGGGCGTGTGGGCGCAGTCATTTTCTTCATCAAAAGCATGTATCATGCTCACCTTGATAAGAACAGGTAATCATTAAGAGCTCTTAATCAAAATCCACTGCACAACCTCTGTATCAAAGTACAACCCACTGGCCCTGCGCACATGCACACAAATATGTCGTCTCTCAGCTTTTGTCTACCTCTGCCCTCAAAATGACTGTAATTGACGTGCTGTTTTTCACAATTCTTCATCTGTGCTCTAATGCACTTGCTCTTGAGAGGGGAAAATCACAGGCAATCTTTTGAACAGATGCATATTCAACTCTGAGAGAGGGTTTGGACTTGTTACAGGGGATGCAGATAAAGACAGAAAGGAGGAGGAAAGGGAAGAGCAGCAAATATTGCTGTCCATGATTCTTGTTGGTCCACTGAAGCATTATTGCGGCACCCAAAATAACTCCTCAATGATTTTTGTTGGTAACACTTTCTATGAAGCCCGTATTTATAATACATTATAAGGGTATTCTTAAGGCATTATAATGGATGCATAATTCATTATAAAAAACCTTATAATATGTTGTATCATCTCATGAATATTCATAAGAACAGTATAATATATTATAATATTTACTTATTTGTGGTTATAGCTTTTAAGAGTATGATGATTTATAACACAATGAACACGTTGCATCCACTTTTACAATGGATTATATTTCTCATAGTTATAATGTATTATAAGTCTCATATCTTGCCATTTTTCTTATGCTACTTTACTTAAAGCGGTCAAAGACCCCTTATAAGTAGTAATAATAATAATACATTTTTTTTTCTCTCAAACAGCCATAAGCTCAGATATCAGATCAGATGAATGTGTAATATGACACATTTACTTTGAACTATTTTTATTGTAATATCAGTTTGATTATTTTGATGGTACCCTTTAAACAGCTGTTGATAAGTGACTCTGCAACTACATATCAACTAGCGGTCATTAGAGTATTAGTATGTCTGCTACTGTAAATATATGCTAACACTTTATTTTGATGGTCAACCAACAGATAAACTGACATTAAGGGTCTTTGCAAGTACGTCAACTTATTCTACCATACTAGATTCTACCATTCTTGAGCATACTAATACTCTAATGAGAGTTAGTTGGCATGTAGTTGCAAAGTTGCTTATAGTCGATTGATTAAGGGGACCATCAAAATAAAATGTAACCATATAAAACATTGCATTATGTTGATAGTATACGTTTTTTTATAATGCATTATGCATTCATTATAATGCCTTAAGAACGCCCTTATAATGTATTATAAATGAGGGCTTCATAGAAAGTGTTACCAATGTAACCATATAAAACATTGCATTTTTTTCAGTTGGAGTATAAAGCTCACATCAGTTCATTAACATTAGCTCCACAGGAAACCCTCAAATAACACTCAACATCTAACCACTCACAAGCTGGAGTAAGATACTGTGCAGATCTTAAATAAACAAGGTCAATATATGATACAGTCCCATTATTCTGTAAATGAAGTAGATTTAATATGGTGTTCATTGTGTTATAAATAATCATACTCTTAAACTTATAACCACAAATACGTAAGTATTATGATGTATTATAACTGTTGTTATGCTTATTCATGAGTTGATATAACATATTATAAGTTTTTTTTATAATGCATTATGAATTAATTATAATGCCTTAAGAATACCCTTATAATGTATTATAAATACGGGCTTCATAGAAAGTATTACCTTTTTTTTTCTTTACAAATAAGGTAGAGAGACTTGAGGAAGAACAAAGAACTCATGGATGCTGCTCAGGAGGATGCTAGAGGGAGACGAAACCCTCATTTATCTCTACAGTCATGCTTCAGCTATCATTAAAGCAGAGTGAAAACTGAGATTGAAGAGTATTAGGAAAACATAACTTTAAATTTAGCATTATATCACTTGCTCAAGCAATGGATCCTCTGCCGTGAATGGGTGCCGTCAGAATGAGAGTTCAAACTTCACAGTAATCAACATGTAATCCATACAAATTCGGTCTATCAGTTAACATCTTGTGAAAATGAAATGAGTGTTTGTAATAAAAAAATCCAACAAGAAGGCGTTTTAACTTTAAGCCACTGATTGTGGCCAAAATAAAGTTCATAATCATAATAATGCTCAGATAAGACGAAGAAGTGATGATGTGCGCTACCGGCGCCTATTTTGTACTAGTCGCGACGGTAGTGACGTCATGGCTGTCGCCGGCCAAACAAGTTGGTGTTTTTTCAATGTAGGCTTCAGACACGGGTCACGACGAGGCGTTCCCCCCATAGCGACCCCTAGAGGACGCAGTGTCTCGTTCCCCTCAGGGAACCATGGTTACATAAGTAACCCGAGACGTTTTCTGTTGTCTTCAAACCAAAAATCAAAATCTACCAACACATTTATTAAACTCTGTTTTGAGATGTTTTCATGGGCTTGTAACTGGTGTTTGATCTGTGCATATTTCTCTCCTGATTCACATGAGACAACTTTTTCACTGGAGAAAGTGAAACTGGATTTTTTTCACTTTTTAGCTGAAACAGCCGTTTGGAATTTAAAAATGATTTGTTTCTTACAATCACACAGGTTTTTGCTTCACAATATGTTAATTGATGGACTGGAGTCATGTGGATTATTGTGATGTTTTTATCAGCTGTTTGAACTCTCATTCTGACAGCACCCATTCACTGCAGAGGATCCACTGGTGAGCAAGATGTAATGCTAAATTTCCAAATTATTTCCAGATCTGTTCCAATAAAGAAACAAACTCATCTACATTATGGATTGCCTGAGGGCGAGTAATTTTTTCAGCAAATTTTCATTTTTAGGTGAACTTTTCCTTGTCATAGTAAACCAAAGCCCCAGTACAGGACACGTTGATGACTGTACAGCTGACTTGTATAGGCAACATCAATAAACATTGATCATCACTGAAATGTTCTCAATGCTAAAACATGATAAATTATGTTATTAACCAGTTCAAGAGCAAGGAAATGGGGATCCATGTGACATAGTTTAACATGAGCAGATTAAAAATAAATATATATATATATTTTTGGTGTGTATTTTACATGACAGCGAGAAGCGTGTGACATTATCAATTTGACTGCTTCCAGTCAGATGTATTTGTGTTTATGTGTGTGTGTGTGTGTGTGTGTGCGTGCAGTACAAAGGCGATAAGCTGTTCTCAGTGGATCATTTTTCAGGGAAACAACCTTTTGTGCCCTTACTGTTATCTCCACTGGCCTCCAGCTATGTGCACAACTCTCATACTCTCTCCTCCATCACTGTGATAGATGGATGTTCCATATTCATTCCACTCTGCATTGAGCAGTATCCCTTCATATACAGTAGGTGTGGGCTAAGAAGTGGGAAACACAAGGTCACTACTTCCTGTGCGCATTTGAGAAGACCCAGCAGGATTCGCTCTCAACCTTTCATGAGACCTAGATTCAGCTAAACTCCCATCACACACACACTTTCTGCGTTGGAATCTCTGACATTTTTTTTCTATCACCATATGGTGCTGTCTGTCTATTTGCTATTTGTTTTGTGTCTGTGCCACAGTCAATGATCATGTTGTTCCATCTAATCTGAAACTAGAACACCTCACAATTTAAATACAGGAAAATAAGAACACAAAACTATTACTAAAAAAGTAACTCATTCAATGCTATGTGGAAAATGAAGATATTAAATAAAACCATACAGATTTTTTTACACTTCAATATAAAGCCAATAACATACATATATATATATATATATGTATATGTATTTGTATATGTATATATATATATATATATATATATATATATATATATATATATATATATATATATATATATATATATATATATATATATATATATATATATATATATATATATATATATATATATATATATATATATATATATATATATATATATATATGTATATGTATTTGTATATGTATACACATGTATGTATTCTGTTAGAGCAGCAGAAATAGAA